ATTTGCTCTAGTGGTGACAGGATCAAGCCGAGGCTCAGGAACTTGAAACTTGTCAAGAATTTCCTTGATAAGTTCTAATTTTCTTTAAGAAGGAAGGACCCATTAATAGACTTATTCCTTCAAATGGTGGCTTGTAAATTGAAAACTCTGTCAGATTTCACGCCTGACAAAAATATCTAACTTTGGTAGGATAAAAAATCACTGGGTGCACTTGTTTCACTGAACCGATGACAAATTTTTTTCTCAAAAAAACAAAAATTTGGCTAGTGCGCCAGGGCTCTTAGTGAGGTAAAACTGTAACAAAAGTTTATTTTTCAAAGATTGATTTTATCTCGTATTCTCAACAATTCATTGCCAAACTCGAAAACAAAACGAAAATTTAACTAGTTTGAGTTCACAAATCAATTGAAATCAAAATGGCGGTGAAGCTTGCCAGCCAGACTGACAGATTAGCGGCTTCAGCTCCAGAGACTCCGTTGCAATTGTCTGCCTCGCAGCAATCCGTTGTACAAGACAAAATATACCCATTCGAGCTGAGATTTTTGCACACTGTTAAAAAAAGATAATAGAGAGAAACAAAATATGATTTAAAAGTATTGTGGAACGTCACGAAAAAGCTCAGCGACCCTACGTAACCTTTTGACCATGTCGGAGTGACCAGCGTCTTATTTCTCCTCACGGTGTGATTATTGAATCAACCATAAGGATCATGAGAATAAAGGAAATGATCGCCTGCCTCAGAAGCCTTTGATTGTTTAGTATATTCTCCTTGTCAGTACCAAAGGAAATGTAGAGAGAGGAGCACTGAGAATATGCATACTGCGGCAAGGGTGTAAGGGTGCAAATACTGTGGCAAGACGTTAAAAAAAACCATACTTTGACGAGAATTGAACAACGGTTTTATACACTTACTAAATGAATTGTCGGTAGTCGGATCTATGTGTTTACCCAAAGGTTTCAAGGATTACCAAACTGTTTCGACGTCAGAAATGGATTTAGACAATGTTGATACTAAGAAAGTGTAAGATTATATTAGAATATCGATGAAATATGTATTGATAGACTTGTCTCCTCGAGTTTTGAATATCTATCGGACGTCGCAACCAAGGACTTTACGCCGTACATTTCCTTCTAGAAACTAGCTATGTTTGCCCCCCTTGCGGTCCCAGAAACCCTTACTTATAACACAAGGACCTGACTACTGGCAACTCATTCACTGTAAACATAAATAAAAAACATAAAACATAAATTCAAAACCTTCCTTCCTCTCTTCTGCGTAACATTTTCTAAGAAGTCGAAGCAGGGAATTTACACCTGGTTTCCCGAACCTGGTAAAGGAAGTGAGAACCAAATAAACGTTTCCGCGTTGAAGGGACCGAAATCGTTTACCTTACAGAAAAGATATTTTGTTTTCGCTTTTGTTGCATCTAGAAAATTTTTTCTGTATCTGTCCTCTCTCAAGAAGTGCAACCTTTGATTTTTAAGTTTCTACGGTGACTAGCACTAAAGCTTTTCAATCGAGCATACAGATAAACACATAAACGGCACATGGTGTGGAAATAAAAATATTGCTTGGGGAGACTGTACTCACCAGTTGGTGTGATACATAATGCGAACAGAGCAACAAAAACTGACTTGAGCAAATGTTTCCACGGATCCTCGTTGGTTTGCTGTGAGAATCGTCAAGAGAATGATCGCAATATTACAGGAAACGAATTCCCCGCGAAATTCAAGGGTTATTGTATTTGGGTATGGATGTAAGGTGTTGGACTACCTCGGCCACTCAAATGCATGGTAAGCAGTTGAGCTTTGTCCGATATAGTCTGGCTTCGTTTTATATTACAATGCACTATTAGCCTTGAGCTTTTAGAAACTTTAATAAACGCAGGTAGCACTTGCTTGCAAAAAGAAAAAATACATCTCTTTAGTACGGTATGTCATAGATTAGTCAAGTGTCCGAAATAGGCACACAACAGTTGCTGCCATATTAAATTTACTGTAAAGCGTAACTGGCAAGACAGGTGGAATTTAATTACGTTTTTTTGCACGAATCAGCTTCGGGCTTCGGGCAAGGGGTGGAAAAGTTTCCCTTCCCCAGCGCGTTTCAACTCACTCTAGCCTCTGTACGGCTGACAGCAAGACAAATTACGTCTGTTCTACGAAAGGCAAAGAACGGTCCACTATTTGCTTTTTTTTTCAAAATACGTCACTGTGCACGTGCGCACATATGTATATGATCAGGTATTCAGGGCGTCAAGCGCGTAGATTGTCTAGTGAACACATTTCATGGGAAATTTGAGCCCACGCATCGCTCTGGAACGTGAGCAAGCATTGGTTCCCACACGGAATTTCGCATTGCATCGTATCAGGTAGCGATTTAGAAACGCTTCACGACAGTGGGAAATTACTCACGATAAAATGCCGAATTTCGGAAAGGGTGGCGGGTGGTTGACTCGATATCCGAGCTGTCGCGGTTTGTTTACAAAACTACACTACACTTCACTACACGTGCAATCCAACGCCAAAAAGGTCAAGAAGCAGGAAAAAAAAACTGCTACATAATAAATTACTTACAAGACTTTTTGGTGTGTATTATTGCCTGGTATATCACAGGCAGTCCAAGCTCATGTCTCGAGAAAAAGCCAATGATTAATTCATGAAAGCGTCACTCTGATGAATCCATTTAATTCCCTAAACATTACTTTCAATTTTCAAAACAAACTTTAGGCGATAAATTATGATTTTTTTTTTGTCCTCCATCTAATTTTGCCCACTCCAGTTTGTTTCACAGTGCCTCTGAGTCAGTTTTTGTTTTGTTTTGGAGGAGATCACATTAAGCCATCCTAGATGTAGGATGTGACTCCCCTCCCCCATATATACAAGAATAATTTGTTTGGCAGTCAAGAACTTCTTAAGTTGGTGATTATTTCCTTTACTCTTGTGATTTGTGAGAAATTAGATGCTGGTCAGCTCTAAGTGGTTATAGGGTTGTCACCACTGGGTTAAGTATATAATCTGACCAGGTGAGAGATTGGCACAAGTTTGCTGAACCACTCGTAGAGCAAATTAGAATGATACCAATGCAATAGATACTAAGTTGAAAATTACTTATCTCGCAGGACACCATTTGTTGCATGACATTCCAAATAACTACTGCACAGGAGTCAGCAGACATGACACACTGATGCTCTCTTCTCAGTGGCAGCCCAAGCAAGGCCTATACCCTGACATTGGGCAATAAAGATCTGTCTGTGTACTATTCCATGAATGGGGAAGAGTTTAGAGACTGCATTGGTGGAGGATGAACACTGGTCATGAAGATCAATGACAAACAGGTAATGCAAACATGTTGAGGGCTCCAAAATGCCATAACTAATAGAATGTTCACTCTTTATCGTCTAGGAAGGAGAGGGGGGTGGGATGGTTTTGGTTGTGTTCAATAAAATTTGCCTGATTCTCTCCACCTCAAGGGCTCTGTAATATTGTAATAACCCCTCCCCCCTCCCACTGGCATTCAATTTTCTAGAGTCTCCCCTTTCTACTATGTTATGCTCTGAACCCCTTTCTGTTACCATTGAAAACTGTGTGATTCCCCCCAAAATCTTCTGACACCCCCATCCCTCAGGAGATAAAAAGGGAGTAGCTCCTTATGGGGGTGCTGTTTTTTAAGTTTGATATTCTTTCTAATTTTTCCCACCTGTTTGTTTCACAATGCTTCTTTTGAGTCAGTTTTTGTTCTAGAAGAGATCATGTTAAGCAACCCTAGCTAGATATGCAGCAGTTAGTCAAAATGCTTTCCTAGTCTCAATACAGAGAGGATATTGTGTCACTTTATATGGCACTTTTTAAAAACAAGGATGTCTTCTGAAACTTTTTTAAGTTCATGGCTCAGCTGTTTGTGACTTTGAGACAAGAGTGACTCTTAAATGTAGCGTGCATTTTGATTAAGTGATTACAATTAAGGACAATCATGTGGTGACTAAATAATAAATCTAAATTAAAACAAAAACAAAGCCTACTTTCAAAAAGCAGGAAGGCTTGAGTGATTAACCTTCTACACCCTAATATCATTATGCACATTTTCCATACAGTTCTATATATACAAGAATAATTTGTTTGGCAATCAAGAGCTTCTTCAGTTAGTGATTATTTCCTTTACTCTTGTGACCTTCCTGTTTGATTCAGGGTTGATAGAGTAGGGAGAAATTAGATGCTGGTCAGCTCTAAGTGGTTAAAGGGTTGTCACCATTGGGTTAAGTATAGCATCTGACCAGGTGAGAGATTGGTGCAAGTTTTCAGAACCACTCATAGAGCAAAGAGAAGCAATACCAATGCAATAGATACTAACATGAAAATTTCCTTATCTGGCAGGACACCTTTAGTTAGGATTCAAACGCATAGTCTTCCAGGTTCTTAGTCTCCTGAAAATGGAGTCACAAGATTGGATCTCTGGGAGACCCTGTTACCAACCCACTGGAGCACATCCTTTACCAAGATCTGCCTTACCATGAAGGTCGATAGACAAGGAAACTTTGAATAAGTCGTGGAAACATTACATGTAAATGGTTTTGAAGATAATTAAATTCCTCTTTACAAAAACATATAGTTTTACATGTTAACATAGGCAGCCAATGGGTAACTTTCCAATAGAGTTGACTGCTGGGGTGATGGGTGATAAGTCAGAATTCAAATTTTGGCTATCATTTGACCTGCACCATTCCTTAACTTCACTTTTTCCATAAAAGCGTACACTTTTTATGGAAGATTTTTAACATAAAATTTGCATGAATGTGCTGTAGGTTTTGAATAAGTTACCCACTCCATTCCTCCTTGTTCTTTTTTAAATAAGATTCCACTGGATTGCAGTTGAATCCCTGCAAAATTGTAAATGAATGACTGGCTGGTTGGCTATCAGTTTACAGGGTCCTTTTGAATTTTGTTGCCATGTTTTATTATCAATTTCATAGTCAGTGTAATCTTTCTTTTCTGCAAGCCTGTCTAATACTTTCAAGAGATGTGACCATCTTGTTTCTGCTGCTGACAGTGAGGAAAACAATGTAGGATTACCTAGATGATATAACACAGGAAACAAATCTTTCTTGCAATTTTCAAAGTAATGTGGTGATCCTTTTAGATGTCTTAATACTCTAAACCCTTCATTTTGATGAATTAATTTCATTATATACTTTCATCTGATTTTAGGTCACCTGCAGTATATTTGTTGCTTTTTGTTTTACACATTCTTAGAGAGATGCAGACACTGTTTTGAACATGACTGTTTAATTTGTGACTTTTTGAATTTATAAAGGATGTTTGGTACTGATTGTGCCACTTACATCTTGTACAGTAATGGACAGGTGTCATTCTGTCCTTATCATCAGCTCGAGTTTTACCACAGTAAACAGTTGGAAATGATAGGAATCTTTGTCCATATTATATACCTAAAGGTTTTTTCCCTTCTCTTGATGCAAAAGGTGTTATCTTTTTAACATTTTCAGTCATATCTGGTTCTTGTGATTGAGTATCTGTGACACCTAAAGATCTCTCCTCAACTTTACAACATCCATCATTGTCATTGTCATTACAGTCTGTGACTACTGGTGATTGTTGGTGAAATTATCATGTCTTTTAGTAGCCTCAGAAATAGTAATTTCAGGTGCAGGATCAGTTGAATGTATCTCAGCATTACAAGTGCTTGAGTGTGAATCAATGAGGAATTTATTCCAATCATTACTTTGATTTGCAAGAGCTTCATTCATTCTTGTATTGGGATTATCAAGCCAATTTTCTTGAAGTTCTGTAGGGCTCATTCTGAAACAATTCACTTTTCTTAACAAGGTGTTTTACTGCTTTTTACGCTCTTTTTGGTCTTTCATTCTGGAATTAATAATGATGTTTGCTTCTAATGGGGATAGTTTGTGATTCGTTGATTGGTCTAGTTAAAGTTCCAGCAGTTGAATTTATATCAGCTGGTACATTAACAACATTGCCATCAATAGATTATTACATTAATGGAATAATTATGCAGAGGAATCAATCTTTCTTCTAAAAGTGCCAAGTTTAAACGTTGTGGTTTCAAAGGGAATCCTATTTTTCTTGCTTTAGAACAGACTGTTAGCTTTCCATTACTTACGTTTTGATTGGCAATTAGAGCAAATCCATGTAGTATTATCTATACTAGCAGGAGTAGTTTGATTTATTTCAAACAAAGTTTCAGAACTTTTAGGATATTTATCTGCTTCACGCTTTCTGACAGATGACTGTTACCATAATTGATTACAGCAAGTATATACATAGTCAGGACCACATTTAATGTTGTCATGAAAAGTTTGAATGACTTTTGTCATCGTTTGCATCTCATGTATTGAATCTTGACATTCGAATTCATTTATTTCATTAACTGCTATTCAACTTAATCTTTTAGTAGCTGGCAGACACAGGTGATGGTCACATGGGTTAAACCCAGATAGCAAGGATCTCTTTCTATTCTCTGCGATTTTATTCACATCTAGTACATGGTGAGGGTTATTCTTTTTACTTTTGGCAAATGCCTACTTATTCAGTTCTCTGATATGATCAGGATTTGATTCTTTGCATTTGTTAGATACCCACCTTTGAGATCCTCTTTTTTTTTCAATATTCTCTAATCTTTTTTCCCTCAGAGCTCTGTTTTGCTTATTTCTGAACTCACTATTTCCTCTCCTTCTTTTCTTGTATTCCTTCATATCAGCTTTTTCTCCGTTCTTTGGTTGACGTTTTTGCCATCATTTCATCGTTGTTTGTGTTCGTATATTGATTTATCGTTAACCGTGCTGGTTGATTATTATGAATTACATTGTCAACCATTGCCTCTAAATTGAAAGAACAGTTGAAACATAGTGTATTTCATCAATATGTCCAATATCTATCACAGTAGTATCACTTTCTGAGCCAACCGGACTGATATTTGTAACCGATGCAAACCTTAGATTAGACTCTATAATGTGGATTGTGAGGTTTAATACATCTGCAACTGTTTGTATAACAAGCGCATCAGCCCATGTACCCTGGGTGACACATTAGCTAAATACCCTGACCAATAATGGTCTGTACTACTTTTGATGAATCTCTCTAGATTGTTTGTGATATATTGAAAACCAGTACTACGAACATTCATGTGATAGTTAGGTCCACCAAACAACTGATGGAACACAACTCTAAATAAACGATCACCTGCACCACCAACATCTTATATTCTCAAGCCATGTTGAGCTAATCGAGATTGTAAAATAAATTAAGATGGTTTGGATTATTTCCCTGAGTAACAGATCCGGGGTTTAACTCAATATCACCTGAAGTAGGTAACTTTGCCCTTGAAACAAAATACTTGTGATTTCGTTTCTTACACTTTATTGAACAACATTGAACAACATGTACAAATTCTTCATGGAAAAATAACTGATACTTCACATGTCTATGCTTTGCATTTCTTGTTTTGAAAACATAAACATAACCAATAGCAAAATACAACCTTGAACCTCATGCACGAGTTATTTCAACTGGTTTACTTCTATACAGTCTGGTTTTATTATAATTATGGTAATCAAGCGATCAAATCGTTTTCAACGCTGACAAACGTGGTACACTTTGCACAATCTGAGACCTTACATACCTCTGAATTGCTATACTCTTGTTTAATAAGTTCAGAATTTTCTTCCACGGTAATCTTGATGGTTCACTATCACGACGGGCGCCTTTGCTAATACGATCGGACTTCGACTTCTTCGTTTCTGTATGATTTCTGTTATCATCAGATCAGTCTTCTGACTGCGTTTCGTTCTGCTTGGCGACAAGAGTGTTTTGGTTGGATATTATGGACTGATTAGTTGTGCTACTCGTGTTTCTAATAGTTTTGTTTAACCCTATGTTTGTTTTTACACTTAAGCTGATACGAGTGCTTATAGGTTCCCTCGTGAGTTCGATCAAAGTTTCGCTCGGAAGATTCACTCGTAAAAGTTTCACCATTTATAAACCCAATGTGAGCTTGGAGGATCGACGAGCAAACGTCTCGAGGGATCAAAGACATTCAGCGTCTACACAGCTTACTACCATGTGCTTACTGCGACGAGTATTAGTCGAAACTTTCTCGAAGGAAAGTCGAATTCTATTTCAACGTCGCGGCAGTTACTTCGGAAAGTCGACAGATGCATCCCGGTATTATCTCGGAAAGTCGATAGCAATTGGTCTGCCGTTGACATATCGACGTGTTTACATCTGAATGAGCGACGAATTTGCATATTCTGACTCCTAACATCAGTGCTTTATACGCTTCGCGTATCCACGACTAAAAATAAAG